TAAAATATACATAAAATGCTTTATTAAATTTCTTTTTGCTTTAGAGTGAGAGTTTCCTAAAACAAGATTCTTTCCCTCTATCAATACAAAAGTTTAAAATGTATGTACTGCAATAAGAGACATCCATCTCAATTACCAGAATGATGTGAGGAGAGTTTGCTCCCTTTTCCTTCCTGTTGGTCTCGAAGTGTCTCATACACAATTTGGATGATTGGCAGACAAAATGCCTGAAAGATAACAACTCCCCCTTATCTTTATGAACTTTGGTCTTGATACTATATCAATATATAATATAAATACAGTAAATTTTTGACCCCACTTTATTTCCCCCCCCCCCTTTTCACCCTTGTCACAAGTGGGCAAATTTAAAACAGGTCAATTTCAAAGCAAATAGCATCCTCTTTAAATTACAACTGTGTTTGGGCATATTTAAAATTATTTTCAAGCATGAAAGGGTGAAAATAACACAGGCAAAAATAACCCTTTATACAAATATACAAATGCAAAAGGTCATATACTCAACACACGAGGCGGAACATTTGGTTTACTGTAAACCAATCAGCGACGATTAATTTTCGCAACTGAGCAAACATTTTCTCCAAATACGAAGCAAAATGTTTCGCGGCTATAAATATTTGCAAGTTAAAGCAGGTCGCGAAACTTGAAGATATTTCTCCTACACAAATAAAAGTTGGTTTACAATATTATTGGAGATTTGTTTCTTACCCCAGTTTTTCCACTTCCAGTTTCTGCTGCCTGTCAAAAATAAATATTTTAAAACCTACAGAAGCCTTAAAATTATTAAGAAATGTGTATGTCAATATATAAAATAAAATTTGATTGAACCAATTTACTGAACTCTTTTTCTTGTTACCGTTTGTTTAAAATATAGTAATACTGATCTACCATTAAAACATCTCCTCCACCCAGGATCATTGGAATGGCTTCGGCCTGCACATCTGTGGGCAAACTGAAATGACAATAGACCATTTTGTTCTTGTAATCTAAATGGATTTCGCATAAATGAATCTTTTTTTTAACACCTAGATGGACTAAGAATTCTCATTTCAAGAACGTTTTTCAATTTTATGTAAACCTAGCCTTTTTAGTCAAAATTATTAAATAGCAGATCATTAATTTTTCACTGCTAAGCACAAATAATCTATTAAAATCAAAGGAAACATTTTCATTGAGGTTTTATTCTAAAGGCTGTAAAAAATTCCAATCTGCTACTGGGCAAATAGCCAAGCTGACTAGTGGCCCATAGGCCACAACACTCACCTGAGTCACTATAGCCCAGCAGTTCTTCATCAGCAGATTTTTTTTTCAAATATATTCCAGACCTATTAAAACTTTGATCACTTAATATGGCCCAACCCTACCCCTGGGGGTCATGATTTGAACAAACTTAAAACAATGCTACCTGAGAGTCCTTTCATACAGTAATATGAATCATGACTTTGCTGTTCTTGAGAATAAGATTTTCAAGTATTTTTTCCAATATATTCCTACATAAAACTTTGATCACATACTTAAGCCCTTCCCTGCCCCCAGGTAAATATTTCAACAAACTTGAATCTACACTACCTGAGGATGCTTCCATATTAATATGACTAATTGGGACTTTACTGTTCTTCAGAAGATTTTTAAAGATTATAGCAATTCCTATATATTCAATTCCTATATATTCCTACGCAAAACTTTGATGGTCTATTATGGCCCCACCCTATCCCCTGGGTCATGATTTGAACAAACTTAAATCTACAATATGCACTAAAGCTTTTATCTTTTCTGGACTAGCAGTTCTTGAGATTTCTAAAAGATGCCATTAAATTTTCATCAAATCTTATTTTGAAAGAGGTTGTGGCTCTTCCTTTGAAAAAACTTGAGTCCCTTCACAGGATGCTTTGTGGCAAATTTGGTTAAAAATTACCCAGTGGTTTTTGAGAAGAAGTTGAAAATGTGAAAAGTTTGTGACGACGAAGCTAATGGAAGAAAAATTTTGATCAGAAAAGCTTACTTGCTTATAATGTATAGAATGTATTTAATAATCAATTTGAATCTGTTCTCAAAAAATACAGTTTCGTTTAAATATAAATTCATGGACAGCAACCTCATTCTATTTCATCATGTAATTTGTTGGACACACAATTTTTGGTCTAGCTCAACCCTCGAAAACAAAAGAAATTGGTTGAACAAAAAATTATGAAAAGACAGTATGAGAAGTATGGTATTTTTGAAAATCAGAACAGAAAACTGGAAAGGAAAACACACAGTCAGTATCTTTAAATTAAAATGACTTTTGGCTCAAAATGGTTATGTACGTATCTTATTTGAAAGAGGTTATGATGGTCAAATTTTATTTTGCTTATGCCGAGATCCACACCACAAAAAATTCATTAAAAAGACTAGTGCATGTACTTTTTCCAAATTTTATGACCAATTTTTATTGGGAGTAATGATAGGGTAATGTACAGTTAGTAACAGATGACCATGCATGTCTTGTTTCTAAATTGTCACTTTAGAAGGAATTTCAGCTGACTTTTGGGTTTGGTGACAAGGACATGCATTAAATGAGGGCATTAAAAAAATTACATTTTGTTTTCATTTTTCAAACAAAAAGAACATTGAGGGGAACTCTGCAGTTTTAATCAACTGTTGCACTTTAATTTGAACGAAAATCAATATGCCTACCTATAAAATAACTGTACATATTGCACTAATTTTGCTCACCATTATAATTTATAGAACAGACCTTAAATGTAGTAAGCCAGTGATTTTTTTCTCCTTCAGATATTCTGGCCTTTGCACCATTTGACATTATACCATCTAAGTTAAAGTTTTAAACTTCAACCCTACCCAAGATGTTGCATGTCAAACAAGGGACCTATATAAATACTAGTATATATACGTCCCTGGTCAAACCAAATTTTTAGAAATGTTCACCTCCAGTCCATTTCTTCGACTGCCTGTCCAAGCTCTGGCATGACACCCATTTCTAAAATAACAAATTTTTAAGTCAAATGTATTCTAATACATGTATACAGAGGGACACATTCTGGGGTCCTACAGAGAACCCTAAAAAACTCTAAAGAATCTCAGATAACCCTAATTATTTTTAATTAATTGCACGTAATAGAAATATTTCAGGTTTTTATTATTCATTAAATCATACAAACCTCTGCGTTGCTGATGTTAGACATTGCTGAATAGGCACCTTTTTTCTATTACTATTACGCAATTTATATGCATGTTATACGCAAAACACCATATTTTACGGAATGTTCTAATGCCCTGGCTTATAAAAATGTAATATACATGTACACTGAAAATAAAACCTAATTAATTACCTTCGAATGCAGTCATTTTCAGCTTTTTGCCGGTAGACGAATTTTCACGTTGATTGGGTTAGAATAAACGGATTACCGAACCCGATTAATTTTTCTCAAACTCCAAAAAGAGACGCCCTCTTTTACTTGCCAGTAAATATACAGCTGGTTACTTAAACAAGATGACTAACTTATCCAATAAATCTCATTCCTCTTTTGTTTCAACAGAGACATATATACAATATATATCTATATATCTCTGGTTTCAAGAAAATGTGCCATGTACCTAAAAAGATTAAGCCACGCAGATGAAAACTAGAGACAATACTTTTTTTAATCTTATTTATTCACATCGTTTTAAACATACTGGAATGCTATTATTGCACCATTTTACCAAAAAATTATGAACTTTTGGCAAGTCTTTTGCTGTCAGTTAATACTGCTTCTCTGTTTCCCTCAGTTTGCTGCCTTAAAACAACGATTGTCAACAAAATTTGAGAAAAATTTGGACAATTCTTAACACCTTAAAACAAAGGTCCATATGGATTTCTAAAATTATCACAAAATATTATTGAAGTTCAAAAAAGAATAAAATTACAAATTCTGTTATCTTTAATTCATACAAGCCTTTGTGCATTTTTTTTTCTCTCCAATTAATATATTACATGGTAAAACTAAATTCGTTCTCCATCTTTGTCAAAATCATCAACATTTAGGATAAGCTTGCAGAAAAATGTTACCACATCAGTATAAATAATGAACATTAATGTTTTTATTGATGGTATGCAATATTCAAAAAAAAAAAAAGATCTGATGAAAAGACCTTTTCCAACCACTCCTTTCCTGTTTTTCTTTTTGCATGGATGAAGACAGTTATCAACCATTAAAAAAAAGAACACTTGAAAAAGCTTCCTTTCTGATGCTTTTCAAAGTTCACATCATATATTATTTCACAGACCTCTTTCAAAACAACCAAACAACGTATACTTATATTATACATTACCTTTCAAAAGATCATGAAAATGATTTCCCAAAAATACTGTTTCGACTTCCCGCTCAACAATATCTGCACAAAAACTGGATGCCAATATAGCAAAGTGAGATCATTTATTTTCTTTCATGATATGGATATCAACTGAACTGCACAGGTATATCCACTATCCATGCATTTAAAAAAAAAATACAAGACCTGTACTTCTTTCTTTTTTCTTCCATGCCAGAGACCTGATCATAAAGTAAGTACTCAATATGCCAAGAGTTTCAGAAATGATCCACCTTTAAATCTTTCAGAATTTAATTAAGAGTCTCTTTGGGACTTTTTTAATCTTAAATAAGAAAACTTTGCTGGACAAACTAAAACATTTTTTTACATTAACATGAACTATAGTGACTTCATTGTAGCATAAGAAAAATAAGGCGCTTTACTGATCAGAATTCAAAAATTTCAAATCAGAGCCAAAACTTAAATGACAATATTTCAAATTCATGTGTACATCCCCTCCACCCAACTCCCCACCCCTAAAAAAATTAAACAAATGGGTGCTTCTCTATTCAAAAAAAAAAAAAAAAAATCAAAGGATAAACTAACATCATTCAAAACAGTTCTCTTTTAACATATGTTAGAAGAAAAATGCAAAAAAGAAAAATACCAGCCCATATTTATTGTCAAAAAATTACAAGTACAATCCAAATTCAATTTATATTGAACAAAACTCAAAAACATGTCTGAAAATGAAATTCATAGAAATCAAAATTACTTTCAATTGTTCTTTCAATAAAAATCATAATACTCCTGCAATGTCAAGTTTCTTGGGGGAAAAAAAAAGAAAAAGAAAAAAACAAAAGAACAATAAGTTCTTCTATTGTAGTTGGCTGGGTTATTTTTTTTTTTTTTCAAATACTAAGTATACAGGAAGATCTACAATGAATTGATACTCCAACTACCCACATATGGTAGTCGAGGGAACATGAAAATTTTCAAATTGCAATACATCGATTACGAAGATCATCACCACACTCCATGATATGAACACCATATTTTAGAATAACAAATAATCTAATGGTAAGCCTTCTTGAACAAATCAGATTTACAACTCTGAAAACAAAATGAACTTAACAAGAATGATTCCTTAGTAAAATCCAGATCATGAACATGCTGATTCACATAAAGACGCAATACACAAAACAATTCCATCTTTTAAAAATTTTCAATGAATGCAAAGAAACGTGAGCATGTTATACACTCCAGTTCTGTACAAATTAATGAGTCACTGATAGCATGGTCATTTAAATGAATGATAAAAACAGTTCATATGCAAAGAAACAAGAAAATACAATGAGGAAAAATGTTTATACATTGTCATTATCCATTTATGGGAAAATATGTTACAGGTGAGGGTTAAATGAAAAGTGTGTGTCGTCACATGCCCCATTCTGTCCATTGGATCCACTCCCCAGTTGTAAAAGTTGTAGCTTCCTGATAATTACTGTTACTGACCATTTTCACTGACTTCATTACTCTCACCATCCACCAGTACAACCTCCTGTCAAATGAAGCAACACATGTCATTATTTTTGGGGGGGGAGGGGGGTCTAAGATTTCTTAAATCATGCAGTTTATAAAACTGACCAATTACACAGTAATAAAATCTTGTAAGACTAATTAATACACTATTTTGATTATTTTATTTCACTGTTTTTATGTATAACATAATGCCAAGCAAAATATAAATCTAAAGTAGATTAGCATAAATACAGTTTAAAGGTTTACCTCTTTAACTGTAACCTCTACTGTTTCTTCCTCCTAAAAAATAATCTTACTTTATAAAATATTTGTCAGTAGAGTTGAATAAATTAAACTGAGACCAAAAAAATTAATATCATGTTATATCTTAATAATAACATCATATTATTACGGGTTGTCATATTTGCACCATTTGATCTACCCGATAAGTACAAAATGGAAGACACTGATAGTGTTGGTCAAAAAACAATGGAGACCAGTACTCAACTCAAATAAGTTCTTTTGAGAACTCTGAAAGGAAAAGTGTGAAAATTTTTACCACTTTGTATATGCTGAGGTTATGTTCTTGCTGTGCATGCTGGCAGAGCTCCCATGCAGCTGCAAATTCGGCATTACATGTTGCACACGCCAGCTGGGAAGGCTCGGGGGACTCTGGATCAAAGAAAAAATTGCCATTAAGCAAGACATTCATATTTCTTGCTCCTTACACAATGTAAAATAATGGTTCTTTACACTGCATCACAAATTGAATCATTGGTCAGTTAAAATTGATATGAAACTATGAAAACAATTATTTATAAAATATGGGATAATCCATTAAAAAATTATCTAAGGAGTGCAGAATGTGACCAATTTTTTTTGACACCCCCTAGGCCCATGGGCCACAATACTCACCCGAGTCACTATGGCCCTGCTGTTTCTCATCATGATTTTTTCCATATTTACTTTGATCACCCAATGGGCCCCATCCTACCCTCCAGGGTCATGATTTGAACTTGAATCTACACTACCCGAGGAAGCTTCCATATGAATAATCATGGTTTTTCTTTTCTTGAGAAGATTTTTAAAGATTTTTCCTACATATTGCTATGTAAAACTTGAATTGCCCATTGTGGCCCCACTACCCCTGGGGTTATGATTTGAAAAAAACTTGAATATACACTACGTAATGAAGCTTTCATGTATGTTTCATAATTTCTGGCCTAATGGTTCTTGAGAAGATTTTTAGAAGATACTTATACTATGAAATTTTCAATAATTCTAATTTCCTCGAGAGAGAGGACAGGGTACTTCATTTGAATCAATTTAAAATTCTTATTATCCAGGATGCTATTTGACAAGTTTGGTTGAAATTGGCCCAGTGGTCTTTGAGAAGAAGTTGAAAATGTTAAAGTTTACAGATGGTTGTCTGCAAGTGTTGCATCTTAAAACCTGAGAATTGATTTTGGTGGCCATATCACAGAATAGGTAAATTAATCTGATCAGTAAACCTACCTGGAGGAGGGGTGCTCTGGCACTGACAAGAGATCTTCAGTCGACAAGGTGTCTTCTTGTGTTGTGCTAAGCTATGAAGACTGCTGAATGATGTCTTACATACACCACAAATCAAAACATCTTTGGCAGCTGGAAAATTAATATGCATAATGGAGTGAAATATCTGTGAAGCTTTTAAAATATAAAAATATAAAATCTACAGATCTTTACATTGCTAAATAAATGTTTCCTTTACTAATTCAATGAAACTTATTTCAAGCCCCAACTGTCATTAATCTGTATATCTAATCTCTCTAAAGTGGCCAACTCTTTCCAACATAAGATTGCAAATGAAAATATTGAGGTTTACCCTGTGCCAGCTGAGTAATAGTTTTGCTGGCTGGAGCGGTAGAACTATTTCCAGAGGTAAGATTGACCAATGTTCTCTTGATGCCTCCAGTTCCAGAGTCTGTCCTCATCTTCTTTGCTGGAGGTCCACTTTGTGTGTTGAGGAGACGTGATGCACCACTAGGCATACAAAGTTAGTTTTTGGAATGATAATTCCTTTTTTTTTTTAAACATATGTCTAATCTTATTTCACTTAACATACTTACAAGAGGATTCCAACTTATAACAAGTGAATATGAAATGGACTATACTGAAATTCTTATATTAAATTACATGCAAATCATGATATGCACTGCAACATGCAGTTACGCAATATCATAAAAAGCACAGTTTACAGGTTAATACTGTAAAGACTGTCTAATCTGACAGTGGTGCAACCTGTTTTACTGAGAATTCCACCCTTTATTTTCATTACCACCATTCTACTTTCAATGTTTTTTACACTGTAAAATCCAATATCCTGTCTAGTTTTGACACAAATCTTGTGTCCCGGAGCATGCTGGATTTGATAGTTTCACTATATTTTAATACACCGCTATGCTAACTTTAACCCATATTAATTCTATGCAAACATTTGAATGTTGGAGATATTTATGTAAAGGTACCATGGTACTATACCTGGAAGTCTGTGCAGTTGACGTAGTCTTTTGATTTGGTCTGTGCTTTGGCTCAGAGGCAATATTGATATCTATAAAAGTTTTGTCATATCACAAAATAAGAGTACAGATCAAAAAAGTTCAAGCTCTTGAAGAATATCAATGGATACAAGTACAGTCAAACCTCTTTAACTCAAACTCCATGGTACCGAGAAGAAAGTTCAAGATATCCAAGGATTCAAGATATCAAGGTTAGTACAGAGAAAAAGAGAGTACAGAGATTAGTACATAGAGAAAAAGTGACTGGGACTTCCAAATCACTTTGAGATATCCATGATATTTGAGAAATCGGTTTTCAAGATACCCAAGTTCAACTGTACTCGCATACAAGATAACAAAGCATGAAAATAATTGTCAAATAGCACAAACCTAGAGCTTGCCCTGCATAAGTCATTCCATCCTCAGCACCACAGGCTCGTCTGGCATCCAGCTGATTGCTGTATTGAACAAAGGCATATCCCTTATGCATGGACAGTCCTGTGACAATCCCATAACGACTAAAGATCCCTTCTACATCTTCCTTTGAAAGAGCAATAGTATTTAGATTTCCCACAAACACTCGGGACCTGGCTGTATTGGGGTCATTTGTCACACTTCCTACATTGGCAGCTGGCCCAGAATTATAACTTTGTGTACTCATTTGAGGAGCCATTCCTCTGGGAGCTCTGTGTCCTGGGCCCAATGGACCAGGTCCTCCATGCCTTGGGGCTGGTGGTCGTGGACGCATCATTCTTGGCATCATATTTCAAAGTTTTTAATTTTTTCTGCACAAAAAAAAGGACTGGCATTGAAAGTATTCTACATGGGTCCAACACAATCTCTTGATTTAGCAAGAATTACTCAGAATAGCTTGATAAAACTTTTTATATGCAGTTTTTCACAAAAATGTTTTTGTAAGAAACAGACAAAATGTCTCAAGTATTTGACTACTGTCTCATATACGTACTATTAAAAAAGCAACTCAAATCAAAGATAGTTCTAACACTGCAGTTTTTGAATACTTTTAAGCAAAAGTTGTATTGCCATTATTTGGGCAGCTGTACACCATGTTGTGCACACTGAGGCATACATAAGTATGACTGTTTCATGTTGTGCTAAATTATTACCAGTCAATTATCTTGTTGACCAGAATTGACATCCTTTATAATTTCATTCAAGAATTAACTCTGTAGTCAAACTCAATTGCTTTAAATAGCCCCAAAATTTTTAGGACTTTCGAGTTTTAAGTCTCTCCAGGAGATGCAATTTGATTAGCAATTTTCACATGCAATGTTTCAGAAAAGTTCAAAGTTGAATACTATAACCAGTGATTTTTCTACACCCAATTTAGGTCCGAATATCTGCCCTTTCCCCATTCAAAAATTACCGATTTTTTCCCAATATCAGTTGCTTTTTTTCCCAAAATAAAACCGTTGTTGTCCTTGTTATATTGATTTTTTTTATGTACGACTTATCTAAAATGGAACGCTATTGTTCTCGGTCATTCAGACTCTTAAAATAATAGTGAAGAACAGCGGATTATTTTGTGCATTTACAAATCATAGAAAAAACATCTTGTGTGCAAATACATCTTTAGAAAGTGTAAGATGCATGTGAACTGGAGAAATTTGTAAATCCAAGTACTAGTAGTTCTACAATAAGCATCCGTGATTCCAGGAAAATCAAATTGTTTCTACACCCAGCAGATGCAACTAATATTGCAAGGAAATAGCAGCAATCTGATTAGGGTAATTTAGAAAGCTTCAACGATTAGTTAAGAAAAAATGATTTGTTAAAAATCTTGTCAGATTATTCCATCTTCAATGGCTATTATGAGACGGATTTTCTCTTACGTCTACCATTACGCCCCCCCCCCCCCCCCCCCCCCCCCCCCACAAAAAAAAGAAGGAATGAAAATAATTAATGACAACTTTCAAAGATTTGTAAAAAAAAAAAAAGAAAGTTAAAAATGTAGAACTGTGTCTAATTTGTAATTTTGTAGTAAATATACTGAATAAATGATGTTACATTTACTTTTATATTTTATTTTACCTGTCAATTCAGATTAATTTCAATCATATAGATTTTTCCCAATTTGACACAAATGTCGATGATTTTTCCCAATTGTAAAGGCCCAGGCCACTTTTAAAAAATGTAGAAAAATCACTGATAACTGCATCAATGTGCGACTTTTTGAACCAGCAGTTTTTTTCTACCAATTGGGAATGGGTCCAGTATCGATTCAGTTGGGAAAATAGTGTCAAAATAGACACTGATGGAAAAGAGGGGAATTTTCTGTCACAACAACAAAGACAAAAGAAAATGATTGATAAAGAGGAAGAAACAAATATATATCCTAAGCGGTAAGTTGCAAAAAAGTGCCCTTCTCTTGCACCCCTCCATTTTCAGATCCTAGCTGGAACACTGTTACAACATGCGCCTTGACATTTTACGAAGGGATGTCTACTTTCGATTTAAGAAGAAGCGAAAAATTTAGTCAATTTGTACAGCGTTTACAATGTCATTGCACTTTGTTCTTTAACAGTTGTTGAATTGGAAATTTTTAGTCTCAAAATTGAGAAAAATTAACATTTTTTGGCATTGGGTATGGTACCATATCTAGGCTACCTGTACCAGTTATATAAGAAGAAAAAACCCTGTGAACATACTGAAAAAATAATGCATATAAAATAAAAGTGTGATAAAATAGGTAAATCAAACCATTCTGAATAGCTAAATAAAGCCAAATAGCTAATTCAAGCTATACAGCTTAACATTGTGCTGGACCTGCTACTGAAGTACAAGTTTTACTGACTTGCTAGTCTCGCCCTTGAAAACATAAAAAAAAGCTTTAAACTGTATTGTTTACACTTAATAATAAATCAGTTCATGATTCTTTGATCAGATCGTCAAACATGATACACCCAACAAAACGCAGCAGAGGAAACGCGGTCAACATAATCGTATCGGTTTCTTTACTTGTACTTCATAGAAATCCAAATCCAATATGAAATCAATATATACACAGAAACTGAGAAACATGTGAAATAATTGAAAGCACAGGTTTGAAAATGTGATGTTTTTAAATTTGTATATTTGATCATGCGCATGGCTTTTGAGAATAGCGCGATCTCAAAATGTTCGCAACAGCACATAGTTGCATAATTGGTTTTTACAAATGATCATTATCTTAGTAAAACATCGTTACTTTAACATTTCTTGAGCTGTAAACAAACCTTAATTGCTTTTTTCACAACAAAATTTAGTGCAGCATTCTACTCCATTTTTCTCGCGGGGAAATGGAGACCGATAAATTTCCGGTTTCTCTAAAGACTGGTTTGTCCTAGTAGCAGGTTAAAATTTTTAATTAATAATGAAGTATAGCAAATAAGAATCGTGTTTTTTAAAATTTTCCTTAATTGGTAGTCTAAAGAGGCTTAAAAATTCACAATGATCCATCAAATAAATTATTTTTAAAATCAAAAAACAACAGCAACAAAATCGGGTTCGACATTACAATTTTTTTCATGAGAGAAGACTACTGTGAAGAGAGAAATCATGTCTTCTAAGAGAAGGCTTCATAAGTGGTCAATTGATTTTACCGGACATGGAAGGTGCAGTTACTTATTTTATACAACTGCTTGTGTGTGTGTTGTTTTTTTTTTATTATTATTTTAGATATTCTTCATTTTATGCATAATTACTTTACAACAGAAAACGTTGATTTTCTCCGAAATTGTTTATCAGATTCATCCTTGATAAATTGCTTCTGTATTATTTTTCATCATTTGCAAATTGAGAGGGAACTATGATAATGAGATGTGTGTGTAAACTTGATATATTGTAAATTTACAAAAAAGTATATTACATGATCTTTCCGATGTAATATTTCGGTCAGTTGATTTCTGTTAAAGACGTGAAAGAGTCATAAAATTGAATAATTATATATATATATATATATATATATATATATATATATATATATATATATATATATATATATATATATATATATATAAAATATCAGTATTCCTAATTTTCAATTCATAGATCAAAATCTGAGAGACAAGCTGTTCTGGTCTCCGAAATAAAAACCCCAGTTGGATACACAGAGAGTATCGGGACTTTAGCTGAACAAAGTGGCAAAGACACAGACCAGAAAATTATAGATAAGGCAAGTACAGTTAAACCTTGTGATTGCGAAATTGATGGGACTGAGAAAAAGATTTGAGATATCGAGGGTAAAATACTTTAATAATAATGTGATTGGGACTTCCAAATCACTTCAACATCTACATGGTATTCGAGATGTTGGTGTTCAAGATACCAAAAGTCAACTGTATTAGATGTAGTTGACTAGTTGTACATTTAACATATCTGACAGGAAATATATGGAGATGATATACACTCTTCCATATCACACTTTAGCCCACAGGTCGATATTGTATTGGATTTTTCATTGGCTTGTTTACATATCCCCTTTTGAACTATTTTTACAGAGATCATGGGATATAGCCCTCGGACCATTAAAACAAATTCCTATGAATTTCTTCATCATGTGGATGGCTGGGAATTCAATCTCAATTTTTCCCATAATGATGGTTGGCATGATGTTCTTCAAACCCATACAAGCCTTCATTTCCATACAGAACAGTAAGTCACAAAGTGTGAAATAACAAAGTACCAATAAGTTTGTTTTTTAATGACCATTTCAGAGGAATGTTGCCTTTTTCAAAATCACACTCTCGGTGCTTGGTTTATTGTCAGCCATCAAGAGATACTATTATTTATTGAGATGCAAATGATAATATCAGCATAAACAAAGGAAATACACTGTACTTGTAAATAAGAAAAGAAAATGCCCCCAAAGCATTATAAACTTGATGAAAATTTTGATTTTTAAGTAAGCATAGGTACAAATCAATGAAAAGATAAAATTTAACTACAGAGTGAAATTTAAGGTCACGTATACCATTCTCTTTCAGCATTTGTTATGATAGAAGGATCACAAGCCTATATACAGAAATTTATTTACATATTTGGAAACATTGTCTGTGTGGCTTTAGCAACATATAAATGTCAGACAATGGGACTCCTCCCCACTCATGCCTCTGATTGGCTAGCTTTCATGGATCCTCAAAAGGTAAAGATTAAGATACATATTATGTAATATGTTACTTTTCATGTAGGATATTGTCCCCTGCTTTCGGGAAAGCAAGGGGGCATTATACCTGATTCGTCTGTCTGTCTGTCTATCTGTCAGTCTGTCCATCTGTCAGTCTATCAAATAAACTTTTACCTTGGTTATAACTTTTGAATGAGTAAAGATAAGGCTTTCATATTTGACGTGTACATTACCTGTGACAAGACCTTTCCAAATGTATTATTGTTTTTGACCCCATGACCTTGAAGTTTGACCTACTTTTCAAAAATTTTATCTTTGCTTATAACTTTTGATTGGAAAAAGATAGGGCTTTCATATTTGACATTACCTGTGACAAGACATTTCTGAACATGCTATGATTTTTGACCTTGTGACCTTGACCTTGAAGTTTGACCTACTTTTCAAAAAAATAACCCTTACTTTAAATTAGTCATAAAATTTGGATGAGAAAAGATAGGGCTTTCATATTAAAAATATACATTACCTGTGACAAAACCTTTCCAAATATGCTGTGGTTTTTGATCCTTGACCTTGAAGTTTCACCTACTTTTCAAAAAATTTATCATTGCTTATAACTTTTGATTAAGAAGAGATAGGGCTTTCATATTTGACATGTACATTACATGTGACAAGACTTTATGAAATATACATGTACTATGATTTTTGACCCCTTGACCTTGAGGTTTGACCTACTTTTCAAAAATTTTAACAATAATATAAATTGGTTATAAAATTTGAATGAGAAAAGATAGGCCTTTCATATTAAACATGTACATTACCTGTGACAAAACATTTCCAAATGTTTTATTGTTTTTGACCCCATGACTTTGACCTTGAAGTTTGACTTACTTTTCAAAAATTTTAACTTTGCTTTACTTATAACTTTTGATTGGGCTTTCATATTTGACATGTGTATTACCTGTGATAAAACGTTTCCGAGCGTGCTATGATTTTTGTCCCCTTGACTTTGACCTCCATGTTTGACCTAATTTTCAAAATTTTTAACTTTGGGGATTACTGTTGAATGACATATGATAGGGCATTCTTATTTGACAAGTGAATTACATGTGTCAAAAATCAAAATGTTTCCAAATGTTCTATGATATTTGTCCCTGTGACCTTAAGTTTGACCTAATTTTCAAGCATTTCATCAGTGTTGCTAACTTTTGAAGGAGCGAAGATAGGGCATTCATATTTGACACGTGCATTGATGTTGTTTTGAGATGTTATAATCTTTGCCATAACTGTTATTAATTAAATAACTTGTATCTTTTTTGTATTAAGAAAAGACACACAAACAAGCATTTATTTATGTGAGATAGTTATTTGATATTCATAAGCGAGAAAAAAATTTTGCGATCTGTGGTTATTGTTGTATATAATCCTTAACATTATAAATATATGTGAAATTAAAATTTTGGTGAGCAGACAGACTGGTGTAATTACACGAAAATAAAGTTCTCACTAATAAAAAGTGATTTACGGGTGATCATTTCTTTATCACATATACACATTTAGCTGGGTGGATTGCATTGTCTCAGTACACCCATCTGAAATGGGTATCTGCTTGTGCTGGGAGGTAACTCCAATGAACAGTTGCCCTATGCAGGGGAAGACATTGACTCTCATTCACTAAGCACCAAAGACACTAGATTAAAGCAGCGGCTTTACGAGCCTCATGTAATGTAGAAGGATTATTAATACACATTCATTTACTGTATCATCAAAGTTATTTAAAGATTTCTCATTTCAGAGAATGGAGTGGAGTGGAGGAGGATTCGTTTTATAAGAGAAAGAAATTAAATGTTTCCCAAGGACTACTGTTGTCAAGAATGGTGTAAAATACTTGAGAAGAAAATACTACCCTAGAATAATTTTGTAAAATATAATGTAAAATTATAATATTATAAATATTGAAGAAAAATACTGGCCAAGAAAATTGTTGTTTGAATTTGTGTATATTGAACTTATTTATGTCATGAGGAATGAAAATTATTGTCAAGAGTGTGTAAAATATGCATTTTCGTTTTTTATGTCAAGAAATCAGAAAATTGAGTGCAATAAAACGGAAAATACTATGTCATCAATAGTACATGAGGAAACTCATTTTTCAATATAATATTTTCTTGTACATTTTAAGTATTATGTTAAAAAGAAAAACAAAACAAAAAAAAAACAAGATGTGTTTGTGAAAGACTGATGCCCCGTATGGCAGCTTATGGCGAAGGTTAAAGTTTCTTCAAATGCAAGTCAAAATCCAGGCCAAAAGAAAAATGTTGATACCCAAAGAAAGGTCTTGTCTCAAGGAATACACCTGTGAAATTTGAAAGACGTAGATACAACTGTTCAAAAGTTATGGCGAAGGTTAAAGTTTTTAGCTCACCTGAGCTGAAAGCTCAAGTGAGCTTTTCTGATCACCCGTTGTCCGTCGTCCGTCCGTCTGTCTGTCCGTCCGTCCGTCCATCCGTCTGTAAACTTTTCACATTTTCAACTTCTTCTCAAGAACCACTGGGCCAATTTTAACCAAACTTGGTACAAAGCATCCTTGGGTGAAGGGAAGTTTAAATTGTTAAAATAAAGGGCCAAGCCCCCTTCCAAGGGGAGATAATCAAGAAAAGACAAAAATAGGGTGGGGTCATTAAAAAATCTTCTTCTCAAGAACCACTGGGCCAGAAAAGCTGAAACTTATGTGAAAGCATCCTGGGGTAGTGTAGATTCTAAATTGTTAAAATCATGACCCCCAGGGGTAGGGCGGGGCCACAATAGGGAATCCAAGTTTTACATTGAAAAATGTAGAAAAAATCTTTAAAAATCTTCTTCTCAAGAACCACTGGGCCAGAAAAGCTGAAACTTATGTGGAAGCATCCTGGGATAGTGTAGATTCTAAATTGTTAAAACCATGACCCCCGGGGGTAGGGCGGGGCCACAATAGGGAATCCAAGTTTTACATTGAAAAATGTAGAAAAAAATCTTTAAAAATCTTCTTCTCAAGAACCACTGGGCCAGAAAAGCTGAAACTTATGTGGAAGCATCCTGGGGTAGTGTAGATTCTAAATTCTTCAAATCATGACCCCCGGGGGTAGGGCGGGGCCACAATAGGGAATCCAAGTTTTACATTGAAATATGTAGAAAAAATCTTTAAAAATC